GCAGCACAAGCGGGAGAGCTGGCGGCTCGGAGGAAGAACGAGCCCGCGAGGAGGCTCTCGGGACCGTCGAGCAGCTTTGCTCTTCGCCGGGGACCATCGGCAGCTGGCGTGGGACGGGGACGCCAGGCAGCGTCTCAGTGAGGTGCTCTCAGAAGGGCCACGCGCTCGTGTTAGATGAAGGCTAAACCRGTGGGGGTCGTTAATATTTACTGTTATTATTTGTTCCTGGAAGTTATGAGCTGGCAGAGTCATCACATCGCAGGCGGGCACGTGCTGCCCATCAAGGTTGTGGAGTCTCCTTCTCTGGAGGCCTTCAAAACCCACCTGGATGCCACCCTGTGCCRCATGCTCTGGGTGTCCCTGCTTGAGCAGGAAGGTTGGACTAGATGATCTCTAGAGGTCTCTTCCAGCCTTAACCAYTCTGTGATTCCGTGAATCCCATGCTGCTGTTTGCGGCCTTCTCTTCCACGTGGCTACGCGGGACCTCTCGCTGAGGACACCGCTCCGGCAGAGTGGGCCCTGGMTCCTTGCTGGAATTGTCTGTGATTTTTGCTGGACATAGCGACGTGTCCATCCCTGGCAAGTCTCTTCCCTGCCCTATTTCCATCCTGGGAAAATTGAGGAACGATGCATCAAGGCTCCCTCTGGAGCATCTGTGGAAGACCCTGGAGGAAGCTCCTCTTTGTGGTGTGTTCTGCCATTCAGGGCCCTTCTCTGGCTTTGCATAAAGTGATATGTTCTTTATTATTTATTATTCTGTTTTCGTTATCGATTTTTATTCAGATCCAGTTATTTGATCTGTCAAGTGCATTCAGGTCTCTTCCAGCTTCCTTGCACTCGTTATATTGGCTTTAATTGAGAAGAAAATTCACCGCTACCTCTTTTTAGACGTGCTGCTGCTGAGAACTCTGTCCATGGAGGCAGGGAGCTGGGATGCATGCCTGGCTGGGGGGATGCATGCCCACGGACACGGGTTTATCACCCTCCGGCTTCCTGCAAGAAGTCAGCAGGTAGACTCTGTCTGGCCACCTGAAACGGAGCCCCTGCTTTAACAGCCTCATTAAACATGTGCAGCACAGCCTCCAACCCCTTCAGGAAGGGTTTTGTGGGGCTGTGAAAGGAGAAGTTCAAGTTGCTGTTCTGTAATGTTCTCAGCATGCACAGGAGACGGAGGATTTCTATGAATCCCGACAGCCGGCTCTCAAAGGTAGCGAGCGTTGCGGTTCTTGCAGCGTCTTGCCCTTCAGATTGAATCGTCTGCATTGAAACGTGCTGCAGGTCGCCAGYCCCAGCCAGTCACATTTGCAAGGACCAGACCTAGGCCCTCTCTTACRAGAGCCATTCCTGGGCTTCTAGTATGGGCCAGTTGTGTTCTCATGACTCCCRTTTCTAATGGAAATCCAAGAAATCCCACGCCAGAAATCAAGGTATAGTCTTCATCTGCTCTCAAGGCAGGAAAGGCTTGAGGCAAGTCTTCAGGACTGAGATCTGCTGAGCAGATCACCTCTGCCCATCTCCATCATAATATCAGTATTTCCAGGCTGGCTTTTTTTTGTACTTCATGGGAGTCTTGGTGTGTCTGTGGTTCTGGGAAGATGCAAGGCTGATCTTCTCSGCAGAACAGTGCTGCTTTTGGAAGCATGGAGCTGTGAAAACCCCATTGTAATGCACTGGGGAACTGAGTGGCRCTGGCAAATCATGTCCTGTGGTCTCCAAGCGATCTTTATTCTGTCCTCCAGTTGTCTCTTCTCTTGTACAGGGGCTGCATTTCAGCCTAAACCTTCTTCCTTGTGCTGCCAGAGTCCATCAGAGGTGGAGGATGTGGCATTTTAACTCAGCACAGGTTGCAATAGGATCGTGTCCTGCATCTCTTCAGGATGGCAGCCAGATTTACCCATGTATCTTTAAAACACTTTTCCTAAAGTAGTGCTATTCAAATGGCCTGGACCAAAGAAGWTGCAAGTGCTTGGGGATCTCATCCCCAGCTCAGCCAAAGGGTGTTTGGGCATGTGCTCCTCACTTCCTATCCTTGTTTAGTTCTTCACTGGTGCTGCCTAATGGTCTGCGAGGGGAACGCTGTGAATAATTCATGTTTTAGGCAAACACGAGGCACCCGGTGCTTCTGTGGTGGCYGTTGGCCACCTCAACAAAGGGCGGCTGAGCAGAAACCGTGCCGAGGCTAGCAAATTTTCAGGTGATTTTGCAAGACTGCCGTAATTCCTACACTGCTCCCTTGATCCTTAGATGAGAGCAAGGATTAGCTTATTGCTATTGCTTCCTGTTGGCCATAAGAAAAGAAGGAGCATGGTGGGGGCCAGAGGATGCATTGGGCTGTTGGTGCCTCCTTGCCGAAGCGCTGCTCGGAATTCAGATGAGGCTGCGGACAGATTTATTGGAGTGGCAGAGTATCCACAGCGCTCGCTTTGAGTCGGGACATGAAAGAATGGAGTGTTCCCAGCAGCAGAAGGCATTAATGAAATATGTTCCTGTTACCGAATCCCTTTGAACTGCCACCTCTGCCTGCGTTGGCTGAGCTGGGCAGCGCAGCTGGTAAAAGCAGTAAAATGTCTCCACTAATAGCGAATATAATGGCAAATGCTCTTGTTTCTGTGGTACCAAGGGGGGTCTGTGGAGCTGCGGAGCAGAACTTGCCTGCATGRGGATGCTCATGACGAGCCGCTCCATGAGGATGGAGCCACTCCGGGCTGCTGCCGGGAAGAGCAGCTTCTTTGGATSTGATCTTTTGCCCTTTTCCCGGTCCCTGATTTCCTTTAACAGAAGCGGATTGTTGCGAGCAAAGCCGCTCTCRGCACGGGGGGCATTTGCGCTGGCCCATTGGTGCCCTGCACATTCCTGGAGCCGTGCGACCTCTCCCCGTGCGCCTTGCGGGGGCCACCCTCCCTGTTCCTTTTCCTTTGCAAGTCGGAGGGTCCTTCCCAAAAACGCTTAGTATGCAAGTAACATTTGGCCTGAAAATCCTCTCCGCCCTCTGCGTCCGTCTGTCTTGCGGCAAGCTGGCAGCCCGCGCAGGCGTCTCTCCCCAGGAGCCTCAGACCTCCCTTCTCCGTTCSCTCTCCCTCCCTACCTGGGACCCAGGCACTGCGCTAAATGTCACATTCCAGGCAGGCAGGAGCGYGCTGCCTTTAAAGGGGCTGTGCTGCGATCTGCCGCCCGCCTGCTCCCTACACGTGAGCTCCATTTCCATGGAAGTGCGAGTTTCCTGCCAGCCGCCGCGTTGTTGAATTTCTCTCGCCCGTTCCCTTTTATTTCCAGACTTACAGCCCCAAATTTTGGGGGCACATTTATTTTTCATTATGCCCCTTTTGTCTTTTGCTTTATAGCTAAAGAAAATCCGTTTCCARTAGGAAATGCATCCCTTTTCTCTGACACCAGGTGGGAAAGGCGATCCTATGTCTTGCTCTTAAGTTTGAGGTCCTGAGTGTGGTATTAGCCGGGAGAGCACTTRTATCCTTTGAGAATGGATGAGTTTGAGATGGTTAGTGATATTTTTGGTTTTCCGGCTCTTTTTTTGTTGTTTTTGTTGTTAAGACATATTTAAAAAGAACAATCAGGGAGAGGGAGTGGTAGTATATAAAAGAATGGAGAAACAGGATCAGGGTAAGAAGTGGAAGRAGATGCCTCCATTTATTCCTTGTCCCCCAAGTCCTTCCTTGTGGGAGTGACGTCCTGGGATAGCAGGAGCTGGCATCGGGTGCATCTGTGATGCCCCATCCTCTGCTGGATGGGGATGGCGGGACCCAGTCCTGTGGTGGTGGTGTTGATACAGGTGTCAGAGGTGCAGGGTGACATCTGCTTCTCCTGGTCCTCAGGAGTGGGAAGGAAAAGAGCTTGTGCTCTGCCCGCTGGCCTTCAGGGGCCAGGTAGGACCAGTCTTTCTCCAGCTCTGTAGAGCAGAGCTCCTGGGCCAACCTTGGAGTTGATCCAACAGAGCTACTCTTCCAGGAGCTGCAAACTCTTGTCCAGAGACAGCTCTGAGCAGAGCTTCCCTGGTTGGGAATGCCCAGCGGAGCCTAGGAGTGTGCTTGGGATGCTGGGTTCCTTCAGCGTTTTCATGCAACCAGGCTTTTGCAGTTGGTAATTCAGGCTAAAGCCCTCCTGGCAGCAGGGGAGGTTTGGCCAACGAAAGAAGCGTACGGATTTTCTTCAGCAAGTATCATGACAGCTCCACTTAAAGCATGTTTCCTGCACGTGGGAGTAGAAGGAAGGAAGAAATCTGGGATGTGATCCGAACACACGCTGGAGGCAGACAGATCCTTAGGACTCTGCGTGTACATGGCAGGAAAAGCTTTAAAACCTGGATGGGAGCTGGAGCAGAGGGATGAGTAACGGAGGAGGGTTTGAACGGAACTAATCAGGCTCATCTGCTTTTGGAGGACTTCATGGAGTTTAATTTAGCAGCGTGTCAGTTTAGTGCCAATCAGAGGAGCCCCTTRTGCGCTCGGGGCGCCCTGGGCAGCGGGTCAGCACCTCCTCTTGCCTCTCTGTGTGAGCGGAGCTACACGTGCGGCGATGAGGGTGGTCAAGCCTCCAGCTGCATTAATAGGTCTTGTTTAATTTGAATCAGCTTGCTTGCTTCTGTGCTCAAAATTAAGTACGTGCATAAAAGCCTGGGCAGGACTGAAACTGAATGTTGTTTTTTCCCTGTAGCTGTTGGCCATGCTGATAACACAGTGATTTTAAACAAGACTTGCCCATCTCTACATGTTTTCCAGGAGAGACTTAAGCACCTTCATGGTGAAACTGCTTTCCATCATTAACATTAGTGATACAGCCAGCCCATAATATCTGATGCCTTTTGATAAAACTGGTGAGCTGACCCCCCAGTTGGCTCACCGGTTGAGAGTAACTCAAATACTCTGTGTCCTGCTGTATCGTAGCCCTAAACTTGTGCCGTGTTGAAGGACGTAGCCTAAAAGATGCAGAAAACTATGAAAATTTGTGCTAATATGTTRTTGATCTTGTTTTCCTTCGCCCTTCAGGTTGATGGCAATGTCTCACTGCTCTGCTCTCCTCTCCACGGCTGCTAAAGTCAACCTGCTGGTTCTGCTGGTCTCTGCGGTGTTTTCCTGGCCGAGCTTAAGCGACAGAGTTCCTGTAAGTGCAGRTTGCTCCATCAATTCAGCCACTTAAACCTGTCACCCATCTCTTGGCCGGCGGTGACAGCTTTGCCTAAGCCTTCTGCAGGGTTGTTATCCCACATGGTGAATCACCTCTGCGCTCTTCAAGAGCAAGTTCTCAAGAGCAGCGTTTTGGCAACACTTGTGTCTTAAGACTAACCCCAGGAAATAAAAGGGTTTGTGAAGGGAAGAGTGTAGCATGTCCAGCTGTCCTGTTCCCTGGGCGTCACCTTGTCTGCTCTGAGCAGGAGTTTGCCCCACCTTGGCAGGAGGCAAAGCTAGTTCTTGTGCTCTAGTGGCAAGGGGAGAGGTGACCTTGATTATGCTTCTTGCTGCGGCTCTGCTGAGTCACCAGGAGTGAGTCACGGAGACCCAGGCTCCCAAAGCACCCTCTTGGGTGCTCGAGTGCCACGTGCGTGGGTTTTGCTGCTTGCAATGTGGTTTCCAAGCCACGGTTGAGACGCGTGGGTGCTCTCTGCCCTCGGCACTCGTGCAGAGCCGGGATTTCCTTCTGAACCGTGGGCTGAGCAAATACAAGAGACTGAACGAGGTATAAGCACTGTAGGGCAGTGCTSAGGGCCCTTCTTGGATTCGTGCAGTGTTGTTATAATCTGTTTTTATTTGGGGCTGGAAATGGAGCRTAGTCATCTTGGTTGCAGGAACAAGCTTGCGAGGACAAGCCTGSAGGAACAAGCACCAGGACGAGCATCCCGGGACGTGCATCTGAGCTGTCAGRCAGCCTGCCCGTGTAGCTGGGATTGAGGCAAGGGCCGAGTTTGGTGGGAAGGGAGCTCTCCGATCTCCACCTGCACCCACTGGCCTTCAGGCCTGTGCTGGTCAAATCCTCCGCATACTGGAGAGCAGACTGCAGGTGGTCTCACACCATCCCTGTTGAGGCTCTCCCATTTATTGCAGCTGCTTTCAGARTAAGAAACCAAGGAGTTTATTTTTTTTTTCCTTTAAGGAAATTTCCATTGTTTTGCTAAAAAAAAAAAGACTAGAAGTATCTTTCTTACTGCTGTTTTAATTATAAAAACCAAGCAAGGAAAGGGCTCTGCTTAACGGTGCAGCTCGTTGCTTCCCGCATAAACGAGGAAGGGTTCGCGGGTCGTTACTGGTTCTGCGGCGGGAGGAATGGGACACGGTACCAAACCCGCCAGTGGAACCGGGGCAACTGCAAAGCAACCGTGGGCCAAGCAGTGGGAGCAGCACTGAAACGAAGCAAGTTGCCTCCCTTAGCCCTTTGCGGCACGTTTGGAGCCCAGCACTTCTCCCAGGCAGCGGCTGTAAACATCAGCCGTCCTCATGAGGTGTGTCAACAGATACAGCACCCGGAGGCGTGTGGGTAAACTCACAACGGACTGTATCCCTAAGTCCCTCTCGGATAATAATATAACAGCGCAAATAAGCTAAGTAATAACTGCTCTCACTCATTTATTTGAGTCCTGTTGAGTCTTGGCTTGCGAAACGTTAACATTGCTTTTCATCAATGGAACCTGCCTTTTTATGTTTACGAGCGTTGCTGAGCTTTAACCATTTGTCGCGATTTTAGCAATTCCAAGCCGCTAATGCGCTGAGCAAAAACAGGAGTTAAGCTCCATTTTTGGGTAATGTATTTTGGAAATGTTGCTCCCTATTAACATATAAAATAAAAGCTTTCTAGAGCTTTGTCAAGCATCTTAATGCGTTATCGCATTGTTCCTAATTGTACGTGTTTTGCTCGGGCTGACATTTTGCTCGCTCGGAAACACTTTCTGGCTAACAGAGATTTAAATGCAAAGCAGCCAGATTTTGCCCATAAACACGCATGCATTTTTTCCAGCGAGGCTGTTGGAAGATGCAAAGCCAGAACGCGGCCTAAAATTTTCAGTTAACCTCTCAACTGACTTCTTTTGGGGCTCTCTGACAATATGCTAACAATGAATATCGAAACACTTGCTGTTCTGGGCTATTGCCCTTATTAACATTGCTAGGAATAATTTTTCCCTGATGGTTGGTTATTTGAAATGCTCCAGTGATGGGTTTTTTTTTTTTTGGAAGTATCAGAAACTAGTAATACTCCCCATAGCAGAAACMGAACTGTCCAGGCTATTAGCCTGAAGCAGCTCATTTATTTCTCTGAARCCCAAAACAGGAAAAACCTTCTGCTTCCCACTCAACTTGTCTCCCAAGAYGGGGCTGCTCCTTTTTACACCTCCCAATAGTTTTGTTCCCGGCAGATTGGAGCAATTCCTGTCAGCTCCCCAGGGAGACGCTGTGGTGAACTCGGAGACTTCCCTGGGCACAAGGGATTTTTCCTGCCTCTCACCCCTGTTTTTCCCCTGTTTAGTGTCAGCTCGTTAGTTTTACCTGTTCTGCAGCCTCCCCAGCACTCGCACACAGCGGTTACGACGTGGGTGGCGATTAGAGAGCTCGTTGTTTCTAAAGGTACCAGAACGCACAAAGAAAAGGATGCCAGGATTTTGATAATGTGGGCAAAACAATGTGTTTTCCCCATGTCCTGTTTCGGAAAGAGCTGAACTATTTTAGCTTAAATTCTCTCCAAGCCCTTAAAATAAGTATATTAAAAAAAAAAAATCACTCAAGGCAGAAGAGACTAGTATGGAAAATTTCAACTGAAAAAGTTAAAGTTTGGCGTATTTTTAGGCAAGGGAAAACAGGGACTAACAATGTTATGCCAGCCTAATAATAGTCAGAGCTACTGGCTCCGGGTGTGATACAGGTGAGGCTCTGCGAGAGCTTGTTTAAAGGCTGCAGCCTGCCCTGGAATAGGAAATAAGCTGCATTGCTTTGTTCAGCACAAATGCCATGCTAGTTATGCATGTTTAACCTTTAATATTCTTTAAATCTAAATTTAACCATGTGGAAAGAATCTTGGATGTCAAAAAGAGAAAAAAAAAATCTGCTGGCGAGGGAAAAATTTGGTATTCTCAGCCGGCATTAAATTACTCAGATGCAATTGCTAATGAGCTGAATCTCTTCTATCCAAAAGGAGTTTGCCCTTACGAAAATAGAAGAGAGCGACATAAAAGATGACAGCGGGACAGAGCCAGTAACAGAAGATGAAGCTGATCCTGAGGACTTAGAAGTGTTCTACCCAACACATCAATGGCAAATTCTCCATCCAGGTAACCTGCTGCTGACTAATTATAGTGTCTCTCTGAAACCCCACCTGACACAGCTGACGGAAGCCTTGCGGCAACTAAAAATACCTGTTTGTTCCCATGACAATGTGTGCTTTTGTTGGTGTTCAGAGGAAGAACAGAGCAATGACCCAACGCAAGCAAACGAGAGCATCGCCAAGCTGGGTGGCAACGGGACCGGTTGCTTAAGTGCTTTCAGTTCACTGGAGCAGGGCTGCCAGTCAAGCTGTAGGTGATAATGTGTCTCTGTCACTAGCTCAGAGGACCTTTCTCTTTTCCTGTGCTTGTGGAGGGACAGCTTTTGTAACGCTTGCTGGCACGTGGCGGCTCGGTCTGCTGTGCCCTGGTGATGGGACCGCTCTGCGGCAATCTGGTCAAGAACTGCCAGTGTTATGGTGGTCTTTTAGCAATGGGCTTTCTAGTCCTTAGCTGCAGGAAGTCCAGTTTTTATTCCTCAAAGCTAAAGGTCTACATCCCAAAAAAAAAAAAAAAAAAAAAAAAAAAAAAAAAAAAAAAATCTAGTCTTAACCCTCTTTGGGGGGATTTAACCCTTCTTTCAGTGCTCAGTGTCATTGTCTGAAAAATAATTAGGGGATTCATTTGTCATGAAGTTTCAGCCAGATACAGTAGAATCACTTTCCCAAAAGTGAATCTTCCTATAAAGTAAATGTCTTGCAAAGCCCCTAAACGTCACAAAGCTGCAGTATGTATTTATATTCCATTTTTGTGCCATTATGTGTAGAGGGTGTGTTGTGTCCCTGCTCAGTGTTAAGACTGTCAGATCCCCATCACCATTCTTGAAGAATAAAATAAAATAAAATAAAATAAAATAAAATAAAATAAAATAAAATAAAATAAAATAAAATATATACACACACACATGGTTATTATGAATGTCACTGCCATTTTTGTTTCAGAGGAACTTTGTTGCTTGGGCTCTGCTTTGTTTTTCTAGCAATTCCACGTTGGGCACATGCAGTAAAGGGCTTGTGGAAGTGTCGAGCTTGTCAGCATTCACTGCATGCTGTAGGAAAAGAATTTCAAATTACTGTTGTAAAAAGCTTAACTGACAGCTTGCCTCCTAGTCTGTTTGGCCACCGGATGATGTTGCTCACGCCATGAGTTTCTGTCGTTTAACAGAGAAATGCATTTTGGCAACGTAGYGAATCTTAATGCTTTGCATCTTAGACTCTGATGCTCTTCTATCTGCTGGTAGTTTTTCTCAGAGCACCAGTAAATTGCAGGCAGAGCTGTGGATCTCCCAGAGCCCCGTAGAGGTTTGGCCTCCTCCTGCCTGCCTCTCTGCAATGCCCTTACGCCGTCCTCCATTGCACCAGTGGAACAAACTGCACCAGTTTCCACTGGAGAGGCAAATGTCTTGGTTCAGAATTTAGATCTTCACTTCTAAGTAGTGGATGGGAATACAGAATTCTGTTTTCTTTACCCTACAAATTTGTCTTATTCCTCTGCTGAGCTCCAAACGGGACTTATAGGCTTGCATCAGACCCACAGTCGCTCATATTTTACATATGTATTTCCAGTTTTATTCCGCTATTTTTCAGTTGGTTGCCGCTAATTGCATCAAACCAGATTTCCACCGAGACTGCTGCAGTATTATTAACCTGTAGTCTGTCAAATCCCTCCAAAAAATTCAATTGCTATTGTGTACGGCGCTGCTGCTCTGTACCGTAGTTCCATTGCCATCTGAAATATGAGCTGTATTTTGATGGAGTTCTTCCCTGTGCTTTGTGCACACTTCGAGCTGCATGAGGCAGCTGGATGCAAACACAGAGAGACAGGTACCCTACGAGCGCTGCTGCCTGTAATCTGGAAGCCCGGTGCTCAGTTGTCCTTCACTGCCAGGGAGCTGGCAGGGGCCGAGGAAAGGTTTGTTCCAACTCCGCAGTACTTTAACACTTTGTTAACGTTTCTTTCTTTCTTTCTCAGTTAGCATTAAATAATGCAGCAGGCACTGCTGGGGTAGAGGAAGAGGGCACATGCACTTTGGAAAATCTCCCGCTTTCTCCTTTTTTTCTCCTGTTGTGTTTTGCATCATCKAAGGAAACGATGAAGATATCTGCAGGGCTTTTCTCTCAGTGTTTTTGGTTGGCATCTATAGGAACTTGCAGGCTACTTGTATCTTAATGAACAGAATTGTCTCTTTCTCTGAATGGATATTTATGCTGGTTACCAGATCACTTCTCATGCCAAGGTCAGAAAACTGTTCCATCACAGCTGTGGATTTTTTTTTCTTAATTGAAGCTTTCCCTAGTTGTTTTTCTTTTCTAAATTCACTTTTACCATCTGATGGTACCTTTTTGAGTTGAAAGCTCTCGTGAGGAACATRTCTCAGGTGACCTGCTTTACCTTTGATTCCTCTTTGTTTTTTAGTCATTTCCTAGTGTGTAGAGATGATGCTGTTGCAACACAAAAACACCCGATTGCTTTTCATGATAGTCTTTCCCTGTCGGTTATGGTAACCAAAATTGATCCTTAGTTTTTAGGATGGCAGAGAGCAGTGGAGGAATTGGATGGTGTTGATACTGCAGAGCCGGGGAAGCCTTCCATGTTGGAGACTTGGAGTCCCCACAGCTCTTGGTGGTTTGGACGGACCCAGTGATAGAGTCTGTCCTTGAAAGTACCGTGCTCTGGGATGTTCTGGTCTTCTGCTTCAAATGGACACAGTTTTCTTTGGATTTACCAAAGCTATCCAAGTATAAAAGCATTGCTTGCACCTTTTCAGACAACCTCCTCTTGYGACATGACCCCCCCAGAGCACGTTCAGGCTTCGTTGTGGGAGAATTATCTTTCTTTGTCACCTGGGCACCTTGTTTCCCCTTGTCTCTCTTACCAGAGAGTAGGAGATATTCCTCATGATGGCTGAAAATCGGCTAACTCTAATCACAGTATTGACTGCCAGATTTGCTGTCTGACATTAGGATCAGAAATTGCTCCTTGGCGGATACGTTACTGTAAAGAATAAGAAAAAGGGAGAAACAGAGAAGCAAATTATCAGAGATCCTAAAAGCCCAGAAACTCAATGTAAGAGTTTAAGAATGACCGTGCTGGTTTATCCAAGAGGCCCATCTAGCCCAGTGAGCTAGACTTCACTTGAGCCTGGGGCAGAGCAGAAGGGTAGTGGGAGTGTGTGATGGTGCTTCCTTGCCCATTGCTGTCCCCAGCTTGGGGACCTTCAAAGCTGAGTTCAGATCTTTGGGGACCGGTTTCAGTGGTTCCCTGCCTTGTCACCTTTGTTCTTTCCACATTCACTAGCAGGTTGACGTTCTTAGCCCACCTGTTTCTCCTTCGCCTGTTCCTCTCCCCTGAGTTTTCAGAACGCTGCATAATTCTCCTGTTGCTTCCTAGGAAGCAGAAGAGGCACATACTTAATTGGCAAAGAAGAAAGGGAGTTAATGGCCTTTTCCTCATTAGCCGTGCTGGCGCTGCGGGGGTCCAGGCCGCACGGCGCCGCGGCAGACGGGCTCTGTCCACCTCCGTGGCAGCAGCGCTTCTGTCCTCCCTAAGCTCCCCAAACTCACCGAGAGCCTCCTCAGCTGCCAGCTTAAAATTGGGAGCTATCGGGTCTAGTTTCCAAATGCAGATGGACCAGGCAAGCCTTGGCTGCACAAAATCTCTCTGCTCTGCTTGGCGTGTTTCCTGTGCTCCCATGCTGGCTCCTCTCAGCTGGAAGGGGCTTCCTTTGGCACAGAGCAGCTGCCTACAGCCCGGAGCAAAGGAGCAGAGTCTTCCAGTTGTGGCTGCAATCTTGCAGCTCTGCACCTCTCTCTCAGGTTGCGCTAGCACGTCTTGCGTTTGGCTGGATACAGCGTGTGTTGCAGGAGCCAGCTTGGCTTGCACGCTAAGCTGTGCTTAAACTTCTGACTTGCAGAGCACTGCGCTGGTCCCCGCAGTTACTCTGTGGCTTTTGTACTGTTCAAAGTCATTTTCCTAAGTGCCTAATTATATTGCAGTTAAAAAGGAAAAAAAAAAATAGAGGGCCACGGCTGCTGCTGTTGCTCCTACTACAAGGGAGAAGTGGATGGGAACATGCTGTTGTTGCTGCTTCTGTGAAGATGAAACCATCTTAAGTTCAGCAGGGAGCTGATGATACATTCCTTAGCATTTACAAATCCGTGGCCGCAGCCTCCGAGAGTCCTCAGGCTGCTCTCTCTGTTCGTAGTTATCCTCGCTGTTCTTCCTTGGCTTGGGTCTGCCTCTGTCTCTTTTGCTCGGTGGGCAAGGTGTTAAACCTGCAGGAACAGTTTGGAAAGAAGGCCCTGGCATTGCGAAGATCATTTCCAAAGTGGATTTTAAAAGGCTTCCTGTGATTTYTTTTCCTAGAAAGAGCAAGACTGCAGATTGGGGATAACTCAGTCCAGCTCTGTTGTAGGTCTGTATCTGGATGAGGTCTAGGTGGTCAAGTGAGCCAGTGCTCTTCCGAGTGTGAAGAGGTTTCTGAAGTGGAGARGGTAATGGCAGGAGCTCTGCTGCTCCTCATGTCCTTCTCCTTCTGACCAAAAATGCCTCCTTTTGGCTAAGGAGACCCCTGTCAGGTATCACAGCCAATTTGGTGGACACAAGCCTGTCTGGGATCTGGCCTGTGGGAATTTTCCTAGATGTTATTACCAGCTATTAGCTGTTGAGAGGGTGTCTTGCTTGTGCAGCTCACCAGGCAGGTTAGACCCCTCTTTCTAATTGCTGAGCCCAGTTAATGAACATGCTGAATCTGTGACTTCTTGGTGACCCAGACCTAACTCTAAAACAGTTGAGTGCAGATCTCTGGAATATTTATGTCAGCCCTGGCAGCATCGTTGCCTGAAATACGTCGTCAAACCACAAGGGTATGCTCATTTTTGCAAAGCTGGACACGCACCATCCGGGAAAGAGTTGTATCTACCTCATCAGATCACCACAGATTTGCATGAACAGGGAAGGCAAATGGAATTTTAAAAACCTCATTTGTGCTCAATGAAATGCTGCTTTTC